TGCAGCAGTGTTAGAAGATTTTGCAGTAGTGGTAGAATATTTTGCAGCAGTGGTAGAAGTTGTAGTAGTGGTAGCAATTGTTGCAGTAGTGGTAGAAGAAGTTGCAGTAGTAGTAGAAGTTGCAGTAATGGTAGAAGAAGAAGTAGTAGTGGTAGAAAAAGAAGTTGCAGTAGTGGTAGCAGTTGCAGTAGTGTTAGAAGAAGTTGCAGTAGTGGTAGAAGAAGAAGTTGCAGTAGTGGTAGCAGTTGCAGTAGTGGTAGAAGAAGAAGTTGCAGTAGTGGTAGCAGTTGCAGTAAGGGTAGAAGAAGTTGTAGTAGTGGTAGCAGTTAAAGTAGTGATAGAAAAAGAAGTTGCAGTAATGGCAGAAACAGAAGTTGCAGTAGTGGTCGAAGTTGCAGTAGTGGTAGAAGAAGTTGTAGTAGCAGAAGAAGAAAAAGAAACATATTTAAACACACACAACACACTTTCGAATGACTTCAACCTATAAGCTGATCCCACAGGCCTGCCTTCGTTTGTCATCCATGCTTACATCATAGAACATTGTACTATAAAAAGAACTTCATTGTAAAAGACAAAACACATACAGTACAAGACAGAAAGCCAGGCACCTCAAAACTGTTTCAGGTAACAGACACCCAAACCCTTCCTGTATCGTTATAATTAATATTAACAAAATAGCAATCACAATAAGTATCACATTACCAAACATAACCAAACAGTAAGGAAAAAAACTTCACATGGTCAAATAACCACAAAACAAAAAAATAAGAATTTAACAAAAAAATCCAGGTCAGAAACTAACGAAACAAACCAGCAGATAAAACAAATAAGATGGAAAACAAATCATTTGCATAAACAGATACAAGCCATGTGCATCAAACACACGACTGTAACCCTCTCAATGCATGCTCTGTCTGTGTTTCCTATCTTACAAATATTTCTTACAATAAAAATATAGTACTCAGAGCAAGTCAATTTCTACACAAATGTCAAATAACTTTTTACATATAAATACTGTACAGCGACTTAGTTTTGTGATCAAATGGAGATGAGCATCAATGTTGTCAAACTTTCACACATCAAATGTTACTAAAGAAGGGTTATATATTCATCTTCAATGTCACAATTACATACATCTTCATTATGTCAAAAAAATCAAATACATCATAATTATAATGTGGGAGAATCAAGTACAATGTCGTAACACGGGAGAATCGAACACACCCTCGTAATATGGGAGGATGCAATACATCTTCATAAAGTGGGAGAAATCAGAGACACGTTCTTCATATGAGAGCATTAAATATAAGTCCATTGCAAGGGAGAATAATCACATGTATTCTCACACTGCAGCAGAATCACACATATTCTCCACATGTAAAAGCATCAAACACATTTAAATGATGTATGAGAATCAAATACATCTTCATTATGTGAAACAATGAAACTAACCTCTAAATGTGGGAGAACTATCCACATTCCTTTAATGTCGGAGCATCAAAACATCTTCATGATGTGAGACAATCAAACACATCTGCATGGCATTCAAGAATTTAAAAGAAAAATTCTTTTACAGTGTGGAAACAAATATCTCGTTTTAATGTGGTAGGAAGTAATGAAAGGAAGGAGATCAAATACATTCTCTGAATGTGAAATTCTATGAAATAAAAGTTAAAAGATTGGTTCAAATCATCAACGGGATATCATAGGGTCCATCTGCTATCACTTATCTTGCTCAGAAAAGCATATTCAAAGCTAACACTGATCAAAAGTTGAGAATCTACACTGCAAAAATCCTAACAAATTTGACAGACTGACAAGAAATACTAGGGACCACGTTTCATACATCCTAAGGGTGTTCAAAGGCAAGAGGGTAAATTATAAGGTTTTATTCAATACAGCTGGGTCTCTCTCTCTGCAGTCTGAAATAAAATCAATAACACGGCACAGTGATTTTTGTCAGTTAAGGCTTTTGTAGTGTGTATAAGGAGACATGCCATACCTCACCTCGGGTGTTACGAGGCTCTGTGCTGGGTTTATGGGTCCTCATGCAAGACTCCTGCCAGATGTCCTCGTCATGCACTACGGATAATGGCCTATTTCAGAAACACTGAGACGGCAGGGAATTAGAGTTTGTGGTCCCAGAGATGCAGTGCCCATCAATCCTCTGGCACTTGTCAGCCCACCGTCTGTGCACAAGTGATATCGTACAAGAAAAACTCATTTGGAACATGAGTGAAGTCCGCCAGCTGAGTACCTTACTAAATGACACACTAAGGTTCAAATGTCTGATGTCCAAAGGTCCCACTATATGACTTGGCTTAACAAACTCTTACTGTATGGGTGCTCAAGTCCAAATGTCCATCCATCCAATTGAGTGTCTAACTGTATGACAGCAACATTTCAGATGTCCTTAGCTCAAAGATCGTATTTTATGACACAAAGGGTTCTACCAATGACTACACTCATGGAAGTGTAATGACCATACAAGGAAGCCACGGCTGTTGCATACTTCCAATAAGTGCTACAAAAAGTGCTTTGGACATTCCGGCTGAAAAGTGCCGTTGTCAAAGAGAGCTCCATATTTAGGGAAGCTTCACTTGATGCTGGGGAATGCCAATGCTCTACCCCTGCCTTTCTTAGAGGGTCGACCAACCTTCACCTGGCAGCCCTGGATGGGTCCTCTAGGCACAACCCATGTGGATCATGGAATGATGAAATCACCAAACATATAAAACTGTAAATGTCCCAAGAAACTAACCCAGATAACAAATGGCTGAAGAAGTTGGATGTGTCAGCTAAAAAGGCACAGATATCGCAGCCATATTTTGCTCACAGACATAAACACATTTACATCCTTGGACCAACAATGAAGAAGATGAAGTAGAATCCACAACCTTCACAGCAGGAGACAAACAGCTGAACCAATTAATCAAGGAGACCTGGTTTATAGAATATCACAGGTAAATCAACACATGTACTGACAAAGATAGGTCATGAATGTCATGAAGAAACAACAAAAGACAGACATACGTAGGAGGCAGCAACACAACTGAAGTACCCAGAATCCACAAAACTTGACGAAGGAACAAGAGTAGAACTGAGAGCAGCATATGCACAAATAACAAAAAACTTGAGCTCAGGTTGAAACTAACACTGCAAGATACAACCTTATCACCAGAAACCAAAATAAGATTACAGACAATGTGTGCAATGTTAACTATTAACATAAAATGCCATCATCATCATCATGTTCTTCTGTTAAATGTCACACAAGGCTCACAGTTTACTTTTCATTTCATTTTCTGCATTATTTCAATATCAGGTACGGACTGTAGTCCAGCAACCCTGGTCGCTCTTCATCAACATTCGTCTTAGGTTTTTTTTGGGGGGGAGACCCTTGTTTTTTAAAATCCATTTGTTTCCCATTAAAGTGCCTTTTTGGTGACTCTGTTCACTAGCACTATATACCCAACATGCCCAAGGGCATGGACAAGGGTCCTTAACTCTTTGTACAGGGTATTTATGGAAGAGACATGGAGGCCATGTAATAGAACTACCCCAAGTAGTACAATGAGAATGCAGGAGTAGAGGTAGAAAGCTGAAAACACACAAGAGAAAATGTCTACATCACAACTGGTTCATTAGCAGTTGATTTGATTCATGTCAGCACTGGTTCCTGGCAAACATAGCTGGTAATATGATACAGTACAGCCTGGTGATGTGCTTCAATAGCTGTAGAAGACTTCCACAAATATCCGTACACCGAAATGGCAAACTGATCACAAGGATACGGTGAGGGTGGGGTGTGCACATACCCGGTTATGTTAAACTGTTTAACTGCATGTTTTGCCAACATTTCAGACAGAAGGGTGGGGTGTGCACATACCCGGTTATGTTAAACTGTTTAACTGCATGTTTTGCCAACATTTCAGACAGAAGGGTGGGGTGTGCACATACCCGGTTATGTTAAACTGTTTAACTGCATGTTTTGCCAACATTTCAGACAGAAGGGTGGGGTGTGCACATACCCGGTTATGTTAAACTGTTTAACTGCATGTTTTGCCAACATTTCAGACAGAAGGGTGGGTGTGTGGGTGTGCACGTGCAACAGAAAAAAATATCCATTAGCATACAGGAGATTCAAACCCTAGTCTCCTGAATAAAAGCCCTAGTTTTCTAACAGATCAGCCCACTGCTACATTACAACTAATTTTTAAAAACAGCTCTTCGTATCACCCAATATGTAGATTTTTATAGATTTTGGTAAGCCTAGATGAATATATCCCATTTAATGCTTCATTCTATCTGCTGATTTCTCTATGTATCTTTATGGATTTCAAAACAAAAGTAAAAAAATGCACATAAATAATTAGTTTTTCAACATAATGAATCGTGTACATTTGTTCATGTTAAAGGAATTTTTCAGAAATCCCCCAGGGTCATTTTCTCTAAGCATTTCCAGGGCAAGGGGTGAAAATCAGAGACCATCCAGTCTGCTGGAATTCAAATATGCTCCCACTTATAAACCAGACGATTTCTACATCACGAAGAGAGGGAATGCAGCTATTTAAGCAAACACAATTTGGCAAGAAATAAGTGTGTGTGTGTGTGTGTCTGCAAAAATCACAGTTTGTCTTTGCGGCACTGAAACATACTTTTAAAACCAACGACAGCATAGGGCAGGCATACTGGCGACCTGCGGGCTAGATTTAGCCTGGGTAGGCCTAGCAAATGGCTTCGGATAACTGCCAGTTGTATGGTGTTAATGGTGTTTCAATCCTGCGGTTCAGGCCTCTGGCTTGTGACGATCCCTATTAAAAAAATTCAGGCACCTGAGTAACTTAGTCAAATAGCCCTGGCATAGAGTATACTTTGTGGAAATCCTTAAGACTGCAGCAGAAACCTTATGTTTTTTCTGACAGTTTTGTGAACATCCTTAGCAAGCAGCAGAAACTGTATGTTTCTTCAAAGACTTGTCGCTGGTGATTGAGTATCCATCAGCTACCAATCCCCAGAGCAACATCCATCAGGTCATCATCGATTGGACAGGGTGAATCTGATTCTTTCGAAGCTGAGGCACCTGAAGAGCCCTTTGACAAGGTTGGAGATGTGATAAAAGGTGCCCAACTTGATTTTGGAGAGTTTGCAAGCTGGACTGAATTTGTGCTGTTTGGAGAACTGACAGACACATTTACAATGTTATTTTCATCTACCGATGATTTTGGAGAGGATGTTTTGGGCACACTGTTACTTCCAGGAAATTTATCTCTTGAGGATTTTGTGGCAAGATGGTGGGAATCGACATCGTCAATAATAAGGCCATTTTCTGGACTGCTGATGTCACTTAAAGGACTGGACATTAATGTTGCTGGTATTTCCTTTTCTAGTTTATCTGTTCTCTTTTCAGTATATGAAATTACCTCACAGTTATCACTAGGAGTATTAAAACTAATATCTTCTGATTTTTTAGTCTGTGCTTCGTAGCAGATCGCCAACAATTCAGAAGGTTCAACCTCATTATGATTATCAAGTGCAGGTTTGACCGACGGCATTTTAAACATCTGTTCACTGTAACTGATGCTGGATACATTAATCAACGGCGAAGAGGTTTTGATCAAGGCAGCTGACTGCAATGTCTGGAATGGTGATGGCTGTGGAGATGCTGACATGCTGCAGGGATTAATGGCAGGTGATTGCACTGGAGATGATGACAGTGACCGCAATGGCAAAGGAATCTTCAGTGGTGCAGGTTTCTCTGTAACTCTGATACTGTCTTGAATATCCAGCGAAGGTTTATCTCTATCTGAGGCTGGGGAGTCCTTGAGCCGTGTTCGCACTAAGCCATTCTCAGTGTCCGATAAACATGGAAGATTAGAAGCTCTGTCGTCTAGAAGTCTAGTTCGATCACAATTCACAACACTTAATAATTTATCACTGGCGTCTGACAGGACACATTTAGGAGAGATACCTACAGCATCACTGCTATTGGTACTTGCTACATTTACACTGTCATTCTCCAGCATATGGTTATGTTTTTGACTGACTCTGTCAGCACTTGCCATGTGTACTGTTGCTGCAGATTGCTGTTTCTCTTCACCCGTCTCCACACTGGCAGAGGCAACTGGTGGTTTGAAATCTGGCACAGCATCTACACGGACAGGTTTTTTACTGCTAGGACTGTCAGACACAGTGGCCAACACTTCAGGCAGATCAAGTCCAGTTCCCACAGCATTGTGCTTTAACTTGTCAACAATGGCAGATAAGGAATTTTTCCTACTTTTGCACGATGGAAAACTGAACACGCTCTTAGCAGAGTCTGTAGAACGCACTGTGGTAGATGTAACTGAGACTGGGACAGGGGACTTCTCTGGCAAACCTGCCCTGAGACTGTCTGTACCTGTCACTACAGATTTGCTGCCTTTGTTGTCTTGGTTAAGCTCAGGGTGATCAGGATTGTTTGATTTTACAGGTGAAAGTGGCAATGGTGGTGGTGGTGATGATGATGCAGATGTCGTAAGGGATGGTGCTACAGTTGTAGGATGCTCACCTAGCAAAGATTTCTGAGTGCTGTGTGCAGAGCCTGCAACTGACACATTTGACGAGGCTGTGGCACTGCTAATCTTATTGATACTCGCAGAACTGGCATTTGAACTAGTGACAGAAACAGATTTCCCAATTCCTTGCTGACTACTGGAAGATGATGAAGATGATGATGATGTTGATGATGATGATGAAACTGTGGTTTTGGATGGGAACGATTTACTGCTGCCAGAACTGCCGAGGGATCTTCGTGATGCCACTGCTGTGTGTGACTTGAAAGCATCAGTGGACTTATACAGCCCTGAATGTTTGGTCAAGCTGGAAAGATGTTTGTGTGAGACAGACAGAGGAGATTTGCCAGAATGAGACAGACCTGGTGTTGGTTTGACGGCACTAATGCTGGTACTGGGCGACCGACTGGAGTTGATGTTGGGTGATCTGCCTGAGCTGGAAGAGCTGGTGTTAGGTGATCTGTTTGCTGCAGGGATGTTGGGGGATTTGCTGGCACTGTTCAAGCTTGGTGACTTGGTGATATTTGGAGACTTGCCTGAATTTGGGGATTTTGACAGACTAGTTGTGTTGGGTGATACATTAGAGGAACTTGCACCTGTTCGTATACTGCTGCCAGAGTGAGCATTCTGGATGTTATGCTTTTGTCCACTGACTGAATTACCACTGTATACCATGGATTTTTGCACTGTAAAATTACTACTAATCTTTGAACTAATACTATTGTTTACTTTAGCACCACTGCCGTGTGTCTTCTGAGACACACTTGGACTACTTGAGCTGCCTGTGGCTCCTTTCACAAAATTAGATGCGAAGTTGCCTGAGGGTTTGTGACTGTTGGAAGAATTCACCCCTGGCTTGTGGCTATTTCCACTTGCCGATGGTGCATGAGCACGAGGAACAGGTGGCCTTTGCAGCCCAGCGGGACCCGAGTTAACCAGCGGACTAGTTTGTGCAGGACCAGATGGCCTGCTGCCATTAAAATTTGGCTTGCTGTTACCTGTGCTCCCCGGGGTCAAGGGTCGGTTGTTGTAATTAAACATACCAGATACCCCAGCCGAAGACCTGCCACCAGCAACTCCTGATATGGTGCTCGGGTTGGGTCTGCCGGCAGGCCCCACAGTGTAGCTATTGTTTGATTTGGTTCCAGCTGAGGTAGGCACTGATCCTGCGGCAGGATCTAAGCTGGAAGTGCGACTGATGGAAGTATTGGATGAAGAGGAAGGCCGCTTTGGAATTCTTGGCATGCTGGCCATTTGTCTGTTTGTTGGGGCATTAGGCAGAATGCTTGAGAGAGAAAGATTAGCAGGTGTGGCTGCAGCTGTAGTGACAACAACAGATGAATTAACAGATGCAGATGACCCTGATGATAACTGAGATGAACTGCGACGATCAACCACGCTCGACACTGAACTTCTCCGTTCCAACTGCACATTATGAGAGAGTGAACGCTTGTCCGATACAGGTGCTGCTATAGAGGTAGAGCTTCGGCGATCCATTTTACTACTTGTTGAATTCGATGCTTTAGGCCCCGTCTGGCTGATATTTACAGTAGATCCTGAGCTTGGCAACATCAGGGGCTTCAGGCGTATTGTTGCCTTGGTCACCAATTTCGGGTCAGATTTGCTGGCTGCACCACTGCTTTGAAGGGGTTTAGCACCCGACTTTGGTGAGGACTTATTGATCGTTGTGGTCAGCTTGCTACTAACAGATCTGGCAGAACTGTTGCCATCAATCACAGCATCCTTGTCTTTCACTGACTCACTAACCGCCGGCTCCTGTTCTTTATCCTCCTGCTTGATGGTCACAGGTTTATCAAATGAACTTGATAGTGACCTCTTTTTAATTTCATAACTCTGAACTTTACCATCAGAAAGCATATTGGATTTGTCAGATACCTGCTTTTTCGACACCCATATCTTCAACTTAAAATCAGCTTTTGTGTCATTCTCCACGGTACGATAAACAGATTCTTCAATGAAATGCTCATTCTTCTTTCGTTTCTTCTCCCGTTTGGATTCATCCTTGTCCCTCTTTCTCTTGGTTATGTTTCCAGAACGTCTGTCTTTTTTCTTAGTTTTGTCAGACTTGTGAGTGATGATGCAGTCACTGAGTTGTTTCTGCTTGCTGCTTGATATCTGACCTCGGGGTGGAGAAGAGGAAGAAGTGTACACATACCTGTCTGATGGAAGCTGCACAGCAGGATCATCATCATCATCATCACTTTTGAAATCAAAGGTCCCAATACTGTTGGATTTTTCATAGACTAGATCCACTTCATCCACAGAGCGAAAAGATTTCACGTATGATTTCATGCTATTTTGTTGCTTAAAATGCCCTACTTTCAGTTTCAAAGAGACCTTGCCTTCTACAGGATGTGACTTGATCTCACTATTTGCTGCTTCTATTTTCACATTTGGCTGCTGCCTTGGAATGTCAAACTTCTCAAATAAGCCTGATGAGATCTGCTTGTCATTAGGAATCTCCACGCTAGAAGAGTGGCGCAACGTTCCTTTACGCAGTGTTGCTGGCGACGGCTTCACGTCTGGTGTCAAGCCACCATCAGAAACTGATTTGCCCACACCAACAAATGTTTCCTCACTGCACAAGTTATCACTTAAAAAACTGGCGTTGACTTTGTGAGATGTGATACTGAGGTTTGGGGATGCACTGTCTGAAGACGCTAACAACAAACTGCTCAGTTTGGACAAAGTGGTGCTGCTGTGAACAGAAGACGCATCACTTGGGTCAAAGTCTGTAGCCCTGCCTACCTCTCCCGACCCTTTGAGGTAGCCCTCAAGAGAGGTAGAGGCGTTCTCGTTTTTTGAGCCCGATGGAGAATTTTGTAATATATTAGTAATTCTACTTGGATTCTCTGCCTCATTCAGCAACATGGTCAAGTCTGGTTCAGATTTCACATCCTTGTGAATGAAATGCTTGTCCATGTCTGCTAGTTTCTTGAGGCTGGACTCAGCACCCAAGCCAGCTTCGGTGAGATCAATAACACCGCTGTGTAAGCGAGTGGCTTTAGAGGCATGATTGAGCACTGCATGTTGGTGATGGTGGTAGTTGGATGAGCCATGAGTGGGCGTCATAGAACCCATCACTGGCGGGGTGCTGGGCAAACCCTGATCCATCCTTGCTACTCCTATATCTAAGTCCATGGAAGTACCCAGCATGCCCAGGGGATCAGCATGATCCATGTCACTCACCCGATGCTTGGGACTGGGCCCACCAAAATCTGAGGTCTGTTTGCGTTTACGCACACGTTTAGCAGACACCGATGGTGCGATCTTACAGTTCATGGGGATTACCGTCGTGGCAACAGAGGTGTTATCATCCAGCAGACGTGATAACATCGGGCTGTCATGCAAGTCAGCCTGGCTCCCAGAGCGAGACAGCTTCTCCTCATCTAGCAACGTTGACAGGAGAGGATTAAGGGCGTGTTCATCGTCTATGGACATAAGCCTCTCGTTAGGATGCTTGTTGTTGCTCTCTGCCACATGGCCATATTCATCCAGTCCTGGCACTGTGGTTCGAGCTTCAACTAATGCTGAATGCATGACCTGAGTCTGGCCATTGCCACTTAGCTGTCCCTGTGGCATATGCAAGGGAGAATGATGATGATGTAAATAGCTAGGTGGAGGAGGTAAAGGAGGCGGATGCGGTGGTTGTGGAGGCGGCCTATTTGCAGGCAGTGTAGTTGGTTGAAGCTTTGCCTGTCGATGTTGCATTTCCTTGAGAAATAAAGCCTTTTCCAAACGCTCCCTCTCTGCCGCAACTGCTGCCTCTTTAAGTTTGTCCAGATGTGCCCGGCCTTTCGTAATTAGCCAGCGCAGCATCACAGGTATGGACATGGACCTGAAACAGAATGAAATGATGTGAACATCTGTAATTAACATGGAAAATGGAATAAAGAGAACAACAGAAACAAAACCTTCCGACTGCCTCGTTGAACTCAACATCACAGTCTAAAAACTTCCGATTCTAAATCAGAGCACAGGATTTTGAATACTATAAATAAATATATAGTTTTTGCCAGCTTGTGTTATGAGTTGAACATGGACAGAAGGAAAGAAAGTTAAAAGCACATTCTACATAAACAAATAAATACCAAAATCTCAACCCACCTCTGAAAAACTCTAGAGACAGCATCATCAGAGCACAGCTCCTGCTCTGGGTTGGTACCGGACACCCTGCACTTCAGGTTGGTGATGTCTGACAAATCAATGTCAACTGCAGAGACAAGATTATACAAACAATAGATACAATATTTTTTTTTAAAAACTAGATCTGCATGATAACAGATAAAATATGCAAGCCATAAATCCACAAAAATGACAAAAATGAATTATATGAAAACTTAAGAAGGAGGGAGAGAGAACAACTTTTTTTTAAAAAATCTGCCTCTGAAGTATGGGAGGCAAAATACACGCTTTAATATACATATAGTAGTTTTCAAGACCCAAACAAAAATTACGGTGGAGGTGAAAGTGAGGGATAATAGCTAAGGTGAATAATTGCAAAACAGAACTCAAAATGTTTTAAAACATTTACAAGCAAATAAAACCCCTGTAAAGAAAAAATTACAGTTGTAATCAATTCAACATCTAGGTGCAACTACTATCTTACACTGAAGCAGCATGGAAAATACTATTTCACGCAGCCAAATACTATTCCACACAGCCAAATACTATTCCACACAGCCAAATACTATTCCACGCAGCCAAATACTATTCCACGCAGCCAAATACTATTCCACGCAGCCAAATACTATTCCTCACAGCCAAATACTATTCCACGCAGCCAAATACTATTCCACGCAGCCAAATACTATCTATGTAAGTCATTGATCACTGAGATGCCATTCTTGCAAAATTCTTGAATCTGCTGACTATCTCACTGTAAAATAGCAGTACTGCAAATGTGAAGGTCTACGATAGGACTACTTAACCAAGTTTACCAGGGAAAACAATGTTGTTGTTCTTCGAGTTCACCGGCTGTAACTCTGGCAGAAAATTCTGGCTGTTCACCTACCTCAGGACTGTAGTCTTATTCCAGAACCTAAGTCATCCGTTTTACAAATCTGACTTATCTGAATGCAGATTGCTGGTTCCTTGCCTTTCAGGCAGATGTGCTCTGACTTCAAAGGAAGCCCAGAATCAGTAGACTCTTATGACATGCTTGTTGGGCAGGCAGTGAGTCTCTTCTTGTGTTTGCCACAATGGGGCCCTGGAACCCTCACAGAAATCCAGATTGTTGAAAATGGGGATCATCATAGGCCAGAAGCGTGAGCCCCAGCACAGACAGATCACTGTTTTGGCAACGATCTGCAAGTCACTTGCCAGGCCTCTTCAGACTAGTTTCAGCCCATGGGTTTTAAGCAGAATCAGTCTTCATCTATGATCTCATTCTGTATTACTACTGGTGAAAACTGCACTGGAAACTTACTGTGCAAAGAATCTCTATTTAAAGTGTTTGCTTTACCTATGTAAGGTAAGTGGTTAAAGCACTTGGCTCCCATGTGGTAGACTGAGGTTTGATCCTTGGTAAGGGATGGAGATTTGTCCCTTATGAGGACAAAACAAAAATACCCTAACCTGCACAGTTCAGAAGAACTTTTAATTCTCTATGTAATAAAAGTCTTCACAGACCAGGCAAGTTTTCAGACAGCAGATATGGAAATTTTTATTTGATTATGTTACTGATGAAGATCAACTCATGCAACACGTTATATACAAGACACAGAAGATCCTTACACCTGCCCCAAACACAGATAAAGTAACTGCAGGAAGAAGAGGGGAAGGGGAAAAAAGGAGGAGGAGGAGAGACATAGATAAACGAATCTCCATCACACCCCCCGCCTATCCCCAACTGCTGTAAAGTCAGCAGGCTTATATAGTACTTGTGTATAATCATGGCATTAGACTTTTGACTTAGACACTACTTCTCCTGTGCTATCACTGTTCAGTTCTCTACTAGTCTCAAAGAGTCAAATGGACAAACTAGAGTGGAAACAGAACCCAGCTATGCCGGTCATTCTTGGTTGCACCAGAGACACCCCAGTGGTTTCCCGACTGTGGCAGGTAGGCACAAGGTGCTGCAGGCGAAGTCATATCTCAGGGTAGCTGCAGACACAGACCACCCTTTGCACAAAGCTCTTGGTGCTGTTAAGGCTCAGCGGCTGATAAGAGGGAAGTCATGGATGGCTCAGGCAGAAGACACAATCAGACAGGTTTGCATCCTTGAGAACATTAGGCGAGGAGAGGAGAGGAGTCTAAACAGTCAGACTTATGTAGGGTCATAATTACATTGAGCCGGGAATGCAGAGAGACTGGCCAGAAGGTGCCATGGAGATGGAAATTCTGCAATTAATTCAAGATAATGCTCGCTCAGAGGATTTGATCACTTACACAGATGGTTCAGTGTCGAGAGGGAAAAGAAGTGCTTGGGGCTTCTTACCAAAAGTTAATGGTCGATGTTTGGTGCAGGAGAGCCTAACATATGATACCACAACATCCAGCTTAAGAATGGAGGTGGAAGCGTTCACTGCAGCTTTCCGCTGGTTAGAGAACACGACACACACACACCGTGATTGTAACTGACTCAGAAAGCATGCTGAGGAAGATCAGGACAGGCATGCTTCGTGCAGAGTGGCATGCTTTGCTGCGGAGGACACGGGTGAGGAGTATTGTTTGAATTTTTTCACCGGGGCAAGCCGGTGTGTTGGGAAATGAATAGGCGGACAGACTGGCTGGCTCTTCACAACTTGGTGGAATACTGATACACGATAAGGCAGACGTAGTTAGTGTCTTGAGGGAGAGCGTGTACAGTGTGGAGGAGCAGACTGATCACAAGTCGGGTGAGATTGATGCAGGGGGAAGTGATAGAGGTTCTGGCAGATGCTTACGGCTCAGGAAAGGCAAGACGGACGTTTAATCAGAATGCTTCCTGCACCATTAGTATCGGAACTCTTTGCTGGCTGCTGAAGATGGGGACGAAGCACTTTATGGGAATGCACCAAGTGCTGTGATTTTGATTCTTGAATCAAATCAGTTCTCTACTACTGTTACATCAAAGCACCTGTCTTAAACAAAATAACACCACAGCATGTAACACTATA